CAACAACAACAACAACAATAGCAACATCTTTATTTCTCAATACAAATATATTTACAGTTATGTAAGCTCAGAGTATTTAAGTTCAGGACAGGTTGTTCAAATAATGTATTTACCTCATTCTAATCTCGATCGAGGCCAAATGAGCTGATTCTTAGGGAATTAAATGAAATGGGCATTGGATGGTTTTCAGTAGGGTTAGCCTCCATCCTAGTTATGTCTAACAATGTAATTGGAGGACAGGAGAGATCAAGGCTCATTGGTGACTATTATTCAGCTTTGCTTCCTCTATATTATGATATACCAAAAATTGTTGGTCAACTGGGATATTTTCATTCATTCATTATCTTATTCCTGGCCAAAACCCTCAGGCGCTAAAACTTTTAGTGTTTTTATTGCTGTATTTTCATCCCCAGGCTTGAAAAGTGTTGGAATACACCTCCTTGGGGTGATTCATCTTTAGTTAAGCTATGAAATTGACTTGCCATATTACTTCTACAGCTACATTGTATATATAATACTGTACACTCACTCCTTAATACCCACTATAAACTTCAATTGTGTCCAAGTCATAAGGGAATGAATTAAATGAATGTTATACAAGTCATGTACTCTTTGTCTATGATGACTGAATTTAGTGTTATATATGTACCTGTTTTCATTGTTTCTAGCATGTTTCTGGGGCTTTCATGATGTAGTGAAAACTCTTCTGGACAAAGGGGCAGGTATGGTACTGTTAACTGTACTGAACAGCTAAACTGGCAGAGTTATTCTTAAATGTACATTTGACATCAAGCTATCAAATTAGTCTCAGCTTTAAAACTACATTACTTGTGTCATAATCATAATCATAATCATAATCACTATATCATTTTTTTGAGGATTATTAAATTATTATCAAAGTAGTGTCAATGATCTGTTTTAAAGCCAACCTGATAACAAATCATACACCAATGCAAAGCTTTTTAATTATTATTAAAGCTTAAAGATAAAAACTATTTCGCTCCAGTCATATCTAACCACAGGTAAGAAGGCAGGCACAGTGGCCTAGCTAGAAACCCAAAATGTCTTGTGTTGTTTCCAGCTAATTTAGCAGATATCAAACTCAACTACACAAGCAAGTACTGCACTGCAGTGTGTACATTTTATATCAATGACAAGAGCCATTCTGCAAAACTGTAGGAGGCTTTATCAAATGAATATTCCCATTGGTTACTTTGCAATTTCTCTGTCAATTTTGCCTATCAAAAATTCATCCATGTATACATGTATTTACCTGATTGTACGTTACAAGTACGTCAAAGGCTATAATTTTGTGGGAGATCTTTTGCCAAAAATGGAAATACCTCATGTCTATTTTTTTGTCAATAAGCAGTGGTGCCCTTTTCGACAGTGTGTCTTTCTAAAGATATATATTTGTAGCACAAATGTATCCTTGGTTCAAATTCAACGTTTTGTTTGTTTCACACTTGGGTATCACCTGAATGCAATTTGCTATAAACAACAACAAAAAAAGGAATTGCACGATATTGAACCAAGGATAAGGTTCTAAAGAAATTCTGGGTTCTAGTAAAACAATGTTTTGTGATTATTCTTAGCTGTACATGGACACCCCAATGATGTGAGTATGATACCCAAGTGCACAGGATAGTCCTTTACTGGCTCCAGAGACGCATGTACGTGTGCGCATACCTTAATTTGTGTTGATTCCTTTTTTCCTATCTTTTTAGACATCAATGCACAGAACAAAGATACTCTCTGGACACCACTGCATGCTGCAACATTTCAGGAGCATGGAAAAGTATGATAAATAATTATTTATAGTTTAATTACAAGTACATACATGCTATATTATTGTCAAAGCTCTTTCAATCAGTATTAGTGAACAGTGGTGCGAACTCTGCTCAAAGAGCTTGTAAACTTAACACAGGCCTGCATTTGATTTTGCAATTAACTGAGCAACATTTGGGATGATGAATGGTACAATCTGAGACTTGTTAACACACTGAGGTTCTTACATAATACAAGATTAAAAATCTGAGACTACGACCAATAAATTAATGCATCACAGAGAAATATATAAATATGAGACACTGGGACTTCCAATGGTGAAAATCGATCAACAGTCCTCAAGAATCCTTGATATATGTCATAAAGTTATCAAGAACATATTGTCTCAGGGATATTATCAAGGACCTTGGTCTTGAAAGATCCTCAAATATCCTTGCAAGATCTTTAAGGATACATGTACATGTAGATCTCTAACAATCTTCATGATAATCATTGCCACAATCATCAAAAATCTTGACAAAGATCCTCCATCGACCATGATCTCCAGAGATCTTAACTTCAAAGATTTAGATCAAAGATCTTGCCAGCTAAAGTTCTCTGAAGATCATGGTTCAAGATCCTTGCAAAGATCTTAACTAGATTATACAAGACCTTTTATTAAAGGATCTTTGCAAAATGATATTTAGAATGTCTACAAAGGATCTTGTAAGATCTATAGATGCATAACGTCTATAGGTTTAAATTCCCCCAGGGTCATCACAGATGATTCTGTTTCAAAAGTTTCTAAGGTGTACAATTGTCTAGATACAGTTGTATACAGTCATGTACAGCTGTATGTGTTTTTCCAAAGGCAGCTCCTCTCACTGGCAACCTATCCCTTAGAGAGGGTTGCCAATTAATTATTGTGTAACAAGTTAATACTCTTTAGGTCACAATTATCTCTGACTGAATTACAATTGTAAATAAACTCTAATAATTAAAAGTATTACTAATTACTGACATTAAAAAAATAATAAATACAATTATGAAAGAGTAGTCAAGAAAAGATCTACGTATGATCATCCTTTTAATTTTATAAACAGAACTTGAATCCCAAATTGCATACTACGTACGTGTACACTGTAGTTTAGCATGAACATGTATGGCCAGCAATTTCCATAAACAAGGTTTCACTGATTTTGTGACTCAATTATGTAGATTGTGATGCTTCTTTTGGAGAGAAATGCACAACCAGAACTACCTGATAGTGAAGGAAGGTAAACTATGTATGCATTTATTGACTGAATAGATTTCCTTTGACTCAAATCTTTAATAACAGAGGCTTTCGACGAACAATTAAGAATAAAAATCAGTGATAATAATTTCGAAATGACATTTTGATGATTTGTTCATCATTTTCAAATTCTGAACGTTAGATTCCTATAAGTTCTTTATACATTGAGAATGTGTGTGAAAGTCTTGTTGCATGCATTCCACATTGTAGAGCTTTTAATCACATGCAACGAGACTTTACATGCATTCTCAATATATAAAGAACTTATAGGAATCTGACTTTTAGAATTTGAAAATGATGAACGAGTCATTGAAACGTCATTTGAAATTATTATCCCTGATTTATATTCGTAATCAAAACTTTCTAAGTGAATATTGTCACTGCTAAAATGTACACAAAATATTTTAGCACAGTCATGTACATGACAGAATGGGATGCTGATGTCTCTTAAATTGTCTTCAACATCACATAATTTGTAATTATTACACACACGCCAAACATGTTCATGTGCATGCTATGTAAGATGATTACTGTAATAGACGGACTGCAGACTGTGCACTGTACAGCATTATCACGGCTAGAAGTGTACACATGGAAACACATGGATACTGTTACATGTACTGTAATTGAAATAAATTCACAATCTATAGAGAATTTTACTGTCAGCTTATTTAAAATATAGCAGCTGCAGTGCATTTCATATCCCAGCTAAAATTACTTACTAGAAATAATTATGTGAGAAAAACAGATTCTGTGACTAATCACTTTCATTTTGGTACAATTTTATCTCACAAAGGATATGCAGCTTGTATACAATTTGGTACTTCTATCATAGCTACAGCATATACATGTACATGTATAAACAATTTGTCATTAAAAACTGGATCATTGCATGATGCAATTTGAGAGTTCTCATTGGCTTTGCTATCGTGGGTTATAAGCCAATATTATACCATACTCTACAAATATGGTGAGCGTAGGTTTTGGCTATCTACCTACTAATCTATCTATTCTAATGTTTTAGGAGTGCAAAGGATTTTGCTTCAGCCTCTGACAAAGTTTGGCCACACTTTGCAGGTACGAGTGTATTAAGACTGAAAATGTGCATGTACACTGTAGTATATTCCAGCAGTATATAAATTTCTACGGGCGACATTATGTACTTACACCGGCATAGCTACATGCACTATACTTTAAAATTAGTGTGAATATCCAACGTCCCAGTAGCAGTGTCTTAATGTTCCAATCTACTCAAAAAGGCATTTGCAACATGACAGCATGTCCTTCTTTCCAGTAGCATCGCGTTTTAAGACATTTTTGCTCGGGCATGCGCAGAAATCAAAATTTGATTTAAGCTTTTCGATTCTTTTACTTTTTTTTTTGGCCTTTCCTCTTTCTCCTTTCTTTTCTTTTTGCTGCAGTGATTGACCTTCTACTGGGCTTGCTTCCAGTTCAAAACATTCTGAGAAAGCATCATCGAGACGGGTAATTCTTGCTATGGAGTAGCCACGTGTAGTGGCAGAAAATTTTGCTCTGAGTTTTTCACTCAACTTTTTGAGCATTTCTGTGCATATCTTAGGCTCCATTGGGCCGATCACTCTGATCTGGGTATCATTGGAAAGATCTTTTTCTCCTGCAGAAGTTGAGCATAGATGATGCCAATTTTTAACAGTCAAAGGTGATGATGTCAGAAGTGGAAGAAAGGCCAAGGCTCGTCACGGCCGGTTACGGCCGGCACAGGAGTCAATGGGTTAATAGCGTTTAACAGCAAGAAATATACCAGGTTTACGCTTATTAACAAGAACAGCTATTTTGAGAAATGATCAATGCGTACTCTGATATTATTGATTTTCAGAAGTTCTTTTTAGTTTGCTTTTAAGCTTAATACATACTTATAAATTTTCGACAATTAGTGTTAATTTAATATGCACATTTATGGCACATTGTTCAGATGTCCTTGCAAATAAGCCGCATTCCCGATTTTTAAGGAAAATTTTGAGTAAAAAGGTACGACTTACCCGCCGGTGTTTACGGTAACTGTTAATCAGACTCAAGCTGATTATTTGGTCGTCATTTATTTCATTAACTACAATATGTTTCCTTATTTATTTTACAGTATTTTCTTTTTTACCAATCTTTCTATGCTTTTTTTGATGCGTGTCCAATAATGTTGACTAGATCTTACCGAAAAAGAGAAAATTAATGCTGATTTGTACAAATTTGCGTGAATGGGTGATTTCGTACACTACCCCATCTGACAACAGTATCTCACAAGTGACAGTGACCTATTGAAAGCTTCTCTATTAACAATTTTGATTTGTTTGGATTGATTACAACCTGCCAAGAAGAGTTGTTGATGTTACAGGAAAGATGACATAAACCCAAAGGTCCCTTACCATGAAATCCTGGGTGCGGCCCAGCACTAATAAGCTTACCGGTATATGAAAAAAGTAAGTTTTTTCAGTCGTCCAAAGGCAATAGTTAAATACCTGTGGCACCCGGGTGCATCTAGAGCACAGCCCTGCTTTGGATTGGACTACATGGACCTTTGCTTATATGTTTTTGGGAATTGCAGCTGGAGGACCCGTCCAGAGTTGGTTCAGCAGGAAGGCCTGGATCAGGTCCCAAAGCAAGAATGGTAAGGATCCTTTTAAAATAGTGGATATACGACTTTGGTTAGAGAAGGCATCATGCTGATTGTAGATACGAACTGACCCCAAACATTTAAAGAGCTTGTCAAACGTAGTAACTGATGAATTTTTTAGCTCTTAGGGTGTGATATTCACGGCGATATTGTCTTTTGAAAGTGAGTCCATTCATTCTTTGTAAAATTTTGAGTTTTAAACCGTTCATATTCCTTGGGAGAGCTAATATATAAGGGTCATTCCACGATCGTATTGTCGTCACAGATATACATGCACGTTACTTGGTCAAGTTAAAAAGGATCTATGCCACTTTTTATATCGGGCTTAGACACAAGCCATGAGAGAGAAAAAAAAATGCTTCACATTTTAGGGACGTTACGTAACGACCATGGTATTATTTTTCGCAGTTGCACATTTCTCGGAAGAAATATAAAACGAAAATAAACTGTACTTTGGTTTCCAATGGAGAACTTTGGTTAAACTAAACATCTGATGTTACATTTGAGATTTACTAAACTCAGTTGGTTTAATTGTGGCTAAAAGATTAATGCATCCGTTATACCTATATAGGAGCTTTTATAACATAACTAAAGCAAGGCGCGCGCTCTGATTGGTTAATTTAGCGTCTACTATTTGCCCATGGGTGTACGCTGCTGACGTGTGTGCTAATGTTCACAAAGCAAATCTTTTGACAGACATTGTTTCCAAAGTAATGGCCGACGTTCTTCTGCCAGAAATGCGAAACTGTCTTCACAGTTGTCTGAAGATGAAACTTTATCGAGTTACTGGTGTGCAGTCGGTTGTCATGAATGAATTTTCGCGCGCTTGTTTTCTCTTGTCATGTAAGACTACATTTTTTTTGTGATGTAGCTCAATAAAAGGACTTCTGTTGTTCCAATGTTTCAATGTTATGTTACCATTTGTTAATTAGTAGTCGCTTACTTTGGGTACCCTCCTCAGTAGTACATGATGCAATCCGCACTTAGTCATGATATTTTTTGAAACTGCAGTCCTTGCATTTTGGCTATGCTCTTAAACTCCTAAATGAGTTTATTTTAAAAATGGTCTTTTTCTTCGTTCTCATGTGGAATGGACCATAAAGTGAACTGCTGAAGGGAGATTAATCTGTAAAGAGCTTTTAGCTTGTTTTTGTAAGGTTTCGACTTCAGAAGTCGTGCTTTCATTGTTTTCCTGTAATTCCTATCTTTCCATTTCTCCTGTAGGCGGCTTTCTCTCGGCCAGGTTCAGCTTATGTTCTGCAGTCGGACCCTTTTTCTAAGCGGCGCAGCAATCAAGAGAGCTCTGAGTTTCCTCTCGGTAGGACATTTGCTTTGTGTATTTAATTCTCCATAGTTTAAAACTGAATGCTTCCCGGTAACACCATGTTCATTCACGACTTTGAACAGTTTCGTTAAGGTTTCTCTACCATGGAGGAGCAAATTTCCAGAGACTGATTGAAGTTGTTCAAAGTGTTTCGTTTACGATACAGTTCCTTACTCCTTGTCGGTTTTTAATTTTGAGATGGCTGCAATCTGCTACATTATTTGTAAGTAACGTTGAGATTTGAAATCAGCGATGAAATCTAACCACTATACGGTTCTGTCGCGGGAAAAAAAAAAAAAAAAAAAAAAAAGAACTGAAGCGAGATTAAGTAATGTTCGTCACAGTAATGTTGTCAACATGTATTAAAGTTATATGGCTAAAAAGTATTTTACCTGTATTGAAACAGGCAGTTGTTTCAATCTATAGTCAGTTTTACATAGATTGAAACACTCATTGATTAGAAGAACTCGAAAGAGATGTTGAAAAGTTCGTGGGTTTTCTCACTCTCCCAAACATCCAACTTGTACGGAACAGGGAAAAGTAAAACAAATTCAAACACCATTGAGTCTTGGAAAACTCAAGACGGCTGTGAAAATGTCTACTCATTTGCAACAGACGTTCTCTGGAAACAAGGACTTTGATTCTTTTCTTTTTCGGGATTTTATATATAGCTGATTATTATTATTACTATTTTACTATTATTATTTTAATGAGAGGACGCGGTAACTGGCGTGTGCTGCCTCACTGCATGCTTTTGCTCTGAAACCGCTGCGTAAAATAATATGTACTTATTGGCTCGACCGTACGTCCTGACCTCGAGCCAAATATTTTCCCGCCCGGCACGTCACCTTACTCAGTCAATAGGCATTTTATCATATGACCACTTAGTGTTGAAAATTTTGAAAATTCTGTTTGAACCTGAATAGACCTTTTTCTTTTGGGCGGTTTGTTTTCCCATTACAGACCACATGATATTCTCTAAAGAATTGTTCTTTCATCCATCTAAAATTATTCATATGCACACGACTGTTTGAAAATCTGAAAGGAAGAATTCTCAAGAGTATCAATACATGGTCTGAAATGGAGCCACAAACCGCCCAGTCGAAAAAGGTCTATAGGACGCGATTACGTGACATCAGACGGCCGCGCGCGGAACAACTACAGAAAAGATTCTACAATAAAATCTTGTCATTTGTTTCTTCGTGTCGAACTAGAAACTCACAATTCATCGAAAAAAACGACTCATTTTCTCATTTTTGTTTTTAAATGTATGTCCACAATTATAATTCATGCTAAAAAGCCAACAGAAAGTTGACGTAAAGCTGTCAAAAATATGTCAAAACCATAAAAAACTTGGCGAGTGACAAAAGTTCGCTTCACTCTTCACTGAAACTGTCCACAAATATTCTTCATCTGAAGACTCAAGAAAATGTCGGCGTCGTTTCAAGCTTTTTGTCGACCTCTTGGATTCTCTTGACCAAGGGAGAACCAGCAACTGAATATTAGACACCGATGTTGGCTCCCACAAACAGAGCCTGGGGTTGCTGACTTTGCTGGCTTTGCTGTGTAGTGGAAATTGTACCACAGGCAGCCCAAGCTCTCTCTATGAACCACACAAGCAACACAATATGGCATCGAATTATAGGGGTTTATATGGGATTTTCTACAAGATATCCGTGGAGGTACTAACGACATGCGAGTTTTATTGTCTGGATGGACTGTACAGTAATGAACTTGTGTTCGTACACAGTTTTGTCTCTTCAATTTAACCTACTGTACACAAGGTACGTTTGTGATTTCTCTGGTTTAACCAACTTCTCCCAGAGGCTCTGGAAACTCGAAGAAAACATTTATATCGTACTTTGTTTTCTTCACGTTGCCGGTTTTCTTGCTTTTGACCCACGATGAATTCTCGATGCTTTCCACTAGAAGAAGTTTCGCCTCGAGACTGTTTGCTTATTCCAAAGGTAAATTATCGGACAGTTCTGAATCCGGAAAAGTTGTTTTCTTGAGCGCCTATTTACTTGTTGTTGGCTTCTGAGAAAGTTGTGAACCTCTTCATTTGTGAGGAGTGTTGACTTCTTTTCTGTGCTTTCGGAGTGAGTTGGCGACTGAGGTAGTTCTGCATCGGACAGTTCGCCTGGATAGTAAAATTCGCTCTCAGAATGTTCACTTTCATCACTCATTTTGAAGAGAACAAAATTTTGCAGCAACAAAATTGTTTTTGTCATAAACTCGCATCGATTTGGCCGTTCGCGTTCCTTGTAGAGCCGTACGCAGTTCTAGTAGGGCCGTGCGCATTTCTAGAAGCGTCGTACGCGTTTTTCCGGCCCTATCACTGCGACGCGTACGGCCCTCATACGGGATCTTTTTTTCTTATGGTTTTCTAAGGAAATTGCGCGCGGGGCCGTACGGGTCATATTATAAAGGCACGTCCGGGCTGCCAAAACCTGTTTCACAGACTAGATTACTACATGTACAGTGTAGTTGTCCATAACAAAACTACCTCATTTTAGACTCTTTCATTCGATCAGCAGGTCGGAGCCAAAACTATCGCACAGCAGTTGATATTTAGATTGATTTTCAATTTTTCTTTGTCAGGTGGACCTGCTGGCGGCGATATTTTAGCGGGAACGACGAGCGCACGAGATCAAGTGGAGCATGGGGGAAAGCCAGGATTCTCTGTGTGGCGCACATGAAGTCTCCTCTTACGCCTACAGTTACGTTTTGGGGCGTTTATTTATACATTTCAAATGTTCAACATAACGACACACTTCTTTTTAAATCTGCATGACAAAGTGAATGACACATTTTGACAATAATTATTATTAATGCAGTCAATACTTTGTATTCGTCATTAAATCAGTGACATATATAAGTGTTGGCAATTTTACAGATTTCTCATTCTTGCAACACATTTTGTTTATGATGTCATTGGAATAAATGCCCATAAATTGCTTATTCTCTAGAACATTTTCTTCTTTTTCACCCATTTTCTACCGAAGCGTATTAAGTTTCCCTTTTCTGTAGTGCTAGTTCATTCCACGCATTTGTTCGTTTTTCGGTCTTTTTCTCAGCCCATTTGTTTCTTAATATCCGCATTAAAAAATAAAAAAATAAAATAAAAGATTTCTACAAAGCCATATGCCCTACAGGCCTTGTTTTTGTTGGTCGCTCACACCATCTAAAACTAGCCAGGGTAAAATCACTATTAATGTAATTATTTTCCAAACAAGTGACAATGCACAAGAAAACCAAAGGGGGTGGAAGGTGTGAAATAAATGTTCCTCGCGCGTTGAGCCAAAATGTTCGACCTCTGAGTCGAAATATTCTTCCAGCTCCATATTGATATGATGTTTGCTGTGTGAATTATCTCCGAATAATCTTTACCACTCTTCACATTGCTTACACTTCTCTTCCACTGACCTATATTCTCTACGTCCACTACTTTGACGGCTTTCTCCTCGCGAACACCCACTCTTACACTAAAACCTTTAGTTTTACACCTACACGCTGTGGCTTTCTAGGCGAATAAGGATTTTAATGGTACAAGTACTTAACTGTATTTGTATAGGTGATCTCGTGATAACTTGAGGTATCACTGGACATTTCCTATTTCGTAGTAAATTTCGTCTTCTTGATTATTGTTTCCACGGTTAAATCCTGCATTGTAGTAAGCAGGGGACGTATTAGCCCCCTGTAATGACTGATAAGTTTGAGTTGCGCGTGGCAGCCCTTTTAAAGGCCCAGGTTTGAGTTCCATATATGAAAGTTCTTCTGGTACATGCTGGTCACGTGTTGAGTTATGCTGCTCGACTTCATTAGAGGTGTGCCTCTGTGGCGTCTGTTCACTTTTGTTCACAGCTCGTCTAAGGCGCCATGTCAGCAGGCTCACTGCAATAAGTACCACGAAAACAAGGCAAGACAAAGCGATGACTATAATACGGTAGATATTGGAAAAACCTGTAAGACGTACAAAAAATGCAAAGAAAAAAGACATTGTCATGAGTTTAACAGGATTGCCACATGTCAGGAAATGTTCAGGAAAAAAATTCTTAAGAAAAGGGAAATTGATAGTTTGAAGAGAAGTCAGGGAATATTGAAATAACTTAACACGGCTTCAGGACTCGATACCTTTGATCGCTGGAAGAAACATTTGGGGTCACTGTGATCCCCTAAGAGCGGGACAAAATCGGCCGCGCGAAAAAAGCTCTTTCGCCCGGCCCGTTGTTATGTTGTATATAAATTACTTCTCTGAGGATTGTCAAACCATCATAGAAGTTACTAAGCAATATTCTACCCGCTAGCAATCACGCGTTACGTCCACGATACACCAACAGCCAGTGGCCAAGGTTACCCAGGTATTTATACGAAGGCATTACAATGCAAACAAACAAATCATCAAACAAACAAACAAGCAAGCAAGCAATTGCAAAATGCACTCACTTTCATGTCCCTTTGCAGTTGCTTTAGTCGATGACTTTCGGTCTTCAACTACGGTTATTTCATAAGATGTACTACCAAACCTGTTTGAAGCGTTACACAAGTACAACCCATAATCCTGCGCGCTACGAGGAATGATGACAATGTTGTTGTTCATAACCTTGATGTCGTCATTAATGGGATCCTGTCCATTTTTTGTCCAAGAGTAACTAACTGGAGAATCACTGGTTGCATAGCAACAAAGAGCACACAGGGTATACTTTTCACATATCACGGAAGTCGGTGTAACGTCTTTCATTATTCTGGGTGGCACTATAAGTAAATAACAAAAACAGAAATCGCACGTGGTTCAATTACTTTATACCCACAACTACGACACCATCTCTATGGGGTTATTGTTGTGATTAATTAATATTAATCTTTGAGGTCCTTTTCGAAAACCACATGTACGTGAAAAAGTTTCCTCAATAAAGATTATTATTAAGCCATATTAAAATTATTTTCTGTTTTCTAGATAACCTTCAGCTTATTCTACAAGATGTGACTTTTTTGTTGGTCATGACTTCATGTGATGCCCATGCCGTCATGAGACCGTCATCTTGTATCCTTTAATCTAGGATTTCATATTTTGTCAGAAAATAACAAAATAAAGCATTTAACTTGATAATGGAATGTAAAAAGGAATTAAACACTCAAGAAAAGTGGAAAAAACGTTGAATTCATTTGACAAGATATGGTTTTATGGTAATGTCAAATGACACGCAAAACACGAAGGAAGTGATCGAAAACGAGAAAAGTGATCACAAAAATACACCTATTGTCTTTACTCAATACTGTGCTCACTAAATTGAATCAACCATTTCTGCGTTGCTTAGCCATATAATGAAAACAGCTCAACAGTAAGATACGAAACATGTATTTTACCATCTGCTATAGTTCTCTGAACTTTTACAGCACTCTTTGGTCCATCACCAGAAGCAGTGAAGGCCAACACTTGAAATTCATAGTCTGTGTTCTCATCAAGCCCAGTGGCATAATATGTGCGAGTTGCTGACCCGTTCATAGTTATTTCGGTTGGCAATCCAACAACGTCTTTCTTATTGTAGAACAGTTTAAATCCTTTGATGATTTCAGGTCTTGAGTCTGCTGGGGATAACTGCCACGATGCTTTAATAGTGGTAGAGTTGGTTGCAATCACAGTAAACACGATGGGCGCTTGTGAAGGAACTGAAATGGTTCAGTTAAATTATGCGCTAAGAACCTAAAGCTCATTTTTTTTTTGTCCATTTGTTAATTAAATATATACCAGCAAATGCAAATGCTTTCGCAGTTCTAATGCCTGTTGTAAAACCGGTCACATCGAACAAATTGTAATTCGCCGTGCTCGATGGCAATACGAGCACCGGAACAATACAGAGAAAAGCCTGACTGGCTGAGTTCCCGTGATAGCTCTGGAGGTTGCCCTATTATTTTTCCAACCAGCATGGCAGAATTTCTACTATTACCATGTATCCTATTTCATGCAGTCACGTTGGTTCAGTTGGTTCTAGTGCTGCACTGGTACCGCAGGGTCATGGGTTTGAATACCGTTCAAGTTAAATCTTTCTTCCAATCACATCTATTGGCGTACCTGCAGGTTTAAGTACTCCAAACACTTCTACTCTCAAAGCCTTATGAGTCGAGAAAAGCGTTGGCTGGAACCTGATAAATCTTGCTCTTGTGATTTTCTTAAGGTTGTGTTTCACTATGTCGTTTCTTCCAGAATTACCATTGAAGATCTAGAAACCAAAGAAGCACTTACAGCATCATCACGCCCTATTGCTGAATGAGCTACATCGTAATCTGAAGTAATATATCAAACACGAAAGACCGTTACCACATTTCCAAACACCGAGAAGAGAGTTGAAAATACGACGCGCAGCAGAGTATTTTTGACGATCTTCGAGATGTTTGGAAATATGGTCAAACACTGTCTTGAGTGTTTGATATATCTTCTCAATCAAAGCTAAAACTAAGGACAAAAAAGGAGAAACAAAATCGTAAAAATCTATGCTAATTAAGATCAGATATCCAAACACTGTCCTGGTCATGATTTCCTCTGTTTAAACTTGATGAATCATTAATGAGTTTGTGATGGATTCTTACTGTTATTGTTCAATAGGAGGACGTCCTTAAAAGAAAACACGCTTTAAAATATCTTGGGCTCTACACCATGCTGGAAAACAAGTCTGACTAACGTTGCTGCTATTGCTTTCTATAGCCGCGGTTTGTAACCCAGTTGTAATTCAGAACGAAAGAAAAAAACGTGAAAATTGGGGTGTTTAAAGGAGTAGCTTACTCCAAAAACCGTGTATTTTTTTCCATCACCAGTAAAAAGTTCACATTGAGTTGAGTTACTCACCGTTGTTTTAACTTCTGAAGTGGATGTGATCCCAATGAAAAAGAAGTGAAAAGTTCGACACCGGGAGCCGCCATTTTGAAAGGATCTTGAAGGCGAGGCCACATATCCGTGACGTCATTCCGTCCGAGAATGTGTTTGTTCATTTGAGCTTTAGTATGGCTGCGCTTGAAGCTAGAGCGTGCTAGTGATTCCGGGGATGTTAATAATCAAGTTGAATGGAAGATTGGTTGGAAAATGCTCTGTGGTGTACTTGTGAGAGATGTGCAACCATGCCGACGCAAAGAGAATGTGNACACATTTTCGAGTTTTTTTGGCATGAATCTCTAATCCCGACGTAGCTGTTCGAACCACTTCTTTGGCAATTTTTTGCTCTTTTTAGGCAAGTTAAGGAAAGTCACTTCTCTTTCCCTATCCTTTTTGGTTCCGGTTTTACAGCCCGGGCCGAATTTTTTAGCTCACAACTGAATTTAGAACAGAAAAGAGGAGCTTTAGCATTTGAGCTTTGCGCCAATTCGGACGGAATGACGTCACGGATATGCGGCCTGGCCTTCTAGATCCTTTCAAAATGGCGGCTCCCGGTGTCGAACTTTTCACTTCTTTTTCATTGGGATCGCATCCACTTCAGAAGCTAAAACAACGGTGAGTAACTCAACTCAGTGTGAACTTTTTATTGGCGATGGAAAAAAATACACGGTTTTTGGAGTGACCTACTCCTTTAAGGTCCCTAGATGAAGCCTCTAAATTTTAAGGTCCCTAGATGAAGCTCCCAAATAATAACAACATATCATGTCCTGAGACTTCAATCAAACAAACCTTGTCCATGTTGCTTTCCTGGTAGGTAACCCAATTCTTATTGTTTAGTGATGTAAGTAGCTTGTACTTTGTTGTCCATTGATCAGCGGTTGACTTTCCTTGCGTAGCCACAGCGCAGATAAGGAACTCGTATTGCAGGTCAATTTCTAAATAGTCGTTAGTAATGTTGTCGTTGCTGGGTGACCAAGCACCTTGTCCGTTTAGTCGACCTTTAGATGGTGCATTACTACCACTTGTTGACGAGGCCGAGAAACTGCTGTCTGGAATAGTGTATCTGCTTCCTACTCCGATGGCCTGAATTTGACACGCTGAAACGTAATCAAGTGGCGTACAACGCTAATTTTTATTTGCTCTCAAACATTTATCTCTGTGTTTACAGTGTGTTTGTTGAGCTAAGGAAATGGTATCTTTGCTCTCAGTCTATAATATCCTGTTTGCATGCAGTCGAACAGCTGATGCCAGACCTTTCAAAATTTTAAGCCATTTCTGATCGTAATTTGCATAGATCTTTACGATTTTATTTCGCAGTTTTCCCCTTGGTTTTACTCTTACGTTTTCGATTAAGAAGATATATCCGAACACTCAAGACAGTGTTCGGTCACATATAAGTTTCAGCCCAAGAAGAAGGTAGACTAAATGATCAAGCATCAAGCATGTTATACCTCGTCTTGCTGAAAACACCTCGACTTCACAGAGTGTGAGCAGGTTATTGCTTCTTAGACTTCTGATGGTCACGTATCGTCCGTACAAAAAGGGACGACAGTAAAAGGATTTGCCCTCGCCTTGAGGGACGGCATGGATACCACCACATCTAGGATTAGCCACGCCTCCATCACTGTTCTGTGACCCTTTTAGAGGAAAACAACAACAACAACAACAACAACAACAACAACAGCGTGACCTTCTTTCGACCTTTAGGTGCAAGCAAATTAAAAGAAAAAAAAAAAAAGAAATAAAAAAAACCCCTGCACACTGTACATGTAAATTTCAGTCGTTTTCATACTGTTTTTATAATCGTATTGCCAACAGTAATATCCAGGGGTTTCCGTGCGATTTTGAATTAGTTCACACTTAACGTGGCTTTGAAACTCATTTGTTTCATGTTTTGTTGCCTTTCTTTCGTGAGAAAAACGTTCACGAAGTTTGAGAGTGCTGTGATAACTTTCATTCGTGTAGATATCCTGGACTTGTCTTCTGTAAAATTTGAACATGCAAGGAAAGTCATTCAGAGTTTATTGTGTTGTTACTTTATAGTTTCCTGTCTTCACGTGACACCATCAAATTCTAAAAAACAGAGCGGCTTCAAGGCCCCAATATATATATTTTCTTTTTAAGCTTTCAACTCAATATCATTCTTCGGTTGGTAACAAGGGAATTTTTAACATCCAAGTTTTCACACCACACGACATCGGGATGGCCGCAAGAAGGCTGCTGCGTACCTTGTAAAGAATGACTCATCCTGCGTTTTCAAGTGGACTGGACAATTAACGTATTCATAATAGTGAATATGTGAATGCCTGCTGTTTCATGAGGTCTACATTATGACTTTAAATAGCAGGGGTAAAGTGATTGATTTCCGGCCGTCCTATTTTTGGGCCCCTCCGCGGGACACAAGTATGGCGTTTACCATTCTAATTGACTAATAAATTCAATAAATAGTACATCACAAACCTGCAAGACAAGGCGAAGATGATTATTCACGAATCTTTTTATAACGTGGTGGGTTCTTGACTTCTACATTTATTTAGTGCTTTACAAGTCTAAGTTCGCGCGACAATGACAGCAAGCATGGCTTGAGTTTACCCGCCTCTGTACCGCCTCATATCAAACAAACATTGAATCCAGTGTAGTCTGACTTACCCACTCTGATCTCGAAATTCTCCAGACGAGATCCACAGCAGTCACCTCTGTTAACTATGTACAATTCAGACACTGGCTCTTCTCGTCCGAGGTCTACTCTCCACCAAGGCTGATTTGCTCTCTCTGTGCATGCGCATGAAGATCCAACAGTAAAGCTTGTGTTACTGTTACCATCCACTGCTTTGCTACTGTCGAAACCAAAGTACGTGCTAATCTGATCCGTTTGCTTGCCAAATGCCAGGTTTTCTGGAAAATAAAAGCAGTGATGGCCATGTAAGTCACAAAGTGGTTTTTCAGTTGTATTTTGGGTTGTCGCAGCTGGTTCAAAATAGACTTTAATAATCAGTCATGGCGAGTTTTGATGACTTTTATGTTATTACATTTCCCATTTGGTTCAGCCAGAAAAGAAGGGGGCTAAACTGCTAAATCAGTTCTTTACTCGGTAGGAATTGCGATGACGATTTTGAGCATTCTAGGAAAAGAAAATTGAAAGTGGCCATTCGCAGTTGCCTTTTCCTGACTTGTTAATTACCTGGAATGGATATGTTTTTATGTCTGTAAAATATCTACTTTCTTATTTTGTTCTTTGTTCCAGATTAGGTTTAGGGCTTGGCTACATTAGACGTTACATTACTGACAATGCAAATATGCAGTATATGTGATGAAATTATTGTGTTGTAGAGCAGTGCTGTGCAGTGTAATGCAATGTAAGGCAATGCAAGGAAATGCAAGGAAATGCATGGTGATGTGATATAGGGTTGGTAGGGTAGGGTAGTGCATGGTGGGGTAAATTTTAATACTTCATGCTCAAATTGTAAGACGAAAATTGCACTACCAGCATTTCTACAGTTCCAGCTATGGAGAGTTAATTCTAAATCTGCCAAAGTGAACTGAAAGTTTGCTTTAAATCTACATAATATGTACATGCATGTATCAAGGTTAATCTTGGACCCAGGATAACTGAGTCCAGTTATAGTCGAATCGAAACTGGTGATAGGATATCGTGAGGATGTGGATTGGAGTGTGTTTTATCTCGGAAACAAGAGGAACTCTTACTAATATAACTAATATAACTAATTTAAGTGAGGTTGTCTAAAAGGTCTGTCTTCCCATTAAAATTAGTTACTTGTATCAAATGATCTGAAAGCTATATACAAATACCTCTTGAGTAGATCTCCACTTCACAAAGGGCTAGCCACTCTGGCTTCGCTACCGTGGTCATGATACCAACATATCTGCCAGTCGTCAGTGGATTCGTGAAACATAGAGCTGATGCTTTGAACTGAATAAAACTGTAGAGTCCCATACATTGAGGATTTCGAGTCACATCTGTGTTGTCACCTGCCATTTTTAGACCAAATTACATCACAGTGGCTTCTTAAATGTTCTATGAAAACTAAGGATATTATGAAGTCATTGGATTAATCATTGAAGTTTGCTTGCACAGAACTTTCCTGGCAGTGAACGTGTAGTTTTACTATGTTGTGACTTGATATATTATTATCTGTAGTGCTGGTTTGCATGGCTTATTATATTTTTCATTAAAGCTAAATTACAAGCGAGAATGACCCTTCATAAGTGGAGTAGTTTTCCAGGCTGTCATGATATAGATAGACGTCGAAGAACATAGCCGATGAGATTGCCGTAATGGTGACAGGTAACTAGTTAAGCAATAGAGCACTTTTTCCGTGTTTACATAGCCTCATCTAAACACGAGGAGGGCTGGGAGAATTCGAGATAGTTATGCAAACCCTCGACTACGTCTCGGGTTTGCATAACTTTCGAGAATTCTCCCAGCCCCCGAGTGTTTAGATGAGGCTATGTAAACATGGAAAAAATGCTCTATTGCTTTTGTAAAATAATTCTCAAAAATACGCGCGAATCTGAAACGTCACAATCGTGTTTACATACTCTCATCTAAACACACCTATCGACCAATGAGCACTCGCGCAGAAGCTCAGTTATTTTATAATAAATAGTAGACTGTAAGTGAGTATTAAGAAGGCTATCTCAGAATTTATAAATGCCACTTTTCCTACGATTGATCCTTCTGCTGTCAGTTATATTGAGGACCGCGGTCACTTTAGTGGACTTACTAAAGTAAGTAAAACCGTTCACCGTAGCTGAAAATAATACTTACCCAATGTTATCTTATAGTCCTTACTCCTGAGCCTTACATTAGGGTTCGACGAAAACCTGTTGACGATGGACACCTCGGACACTGGCACGCCATTTGGGCCCAGGTCTACTCGCCACCAACTTGGATTGTTTCGAAAAGTGTGCGAACAGTGTCCATCATTAAAATCAGCATCGGGATTCCCGTCCACTGCTTTCCCTGCTTCACCTAACGAGTGAACATTACCATATGTAGAAGATTGAGCCGCGGGCTTACCAAGAGCAAGGTTCTCTGTTCAAGTGTAAATAAAACACAGTAAGCTTGAAAATGGTAGACGGTTAGATGTGTTTCGGAATACGATAAAGAAATGTCTGTAGCCATGCATGAGTAGTTTCACAGCAGTCAAACCAAATCGGGTAAATCGGGGAAACCTCATTCAAGTAATTAAAGGGAAATAATGAAACTTACAGCTCAAAGATGGGGATGATCACAATTTGTTCACCAATGACTGAGCGTTTGTGTCATATCACTATTGTTTCATTACTTGATAAAAAGTGCAATGTTGCTCTAGATCCGTCAAAGTATAACTCCTGGAAAGTGTTCGAAATGTCAGCCACCTTTAAAAGTTCAGACTGATTTAAGTGCATTTTTTTTATTCTGAATCGCGTGTGCACCTTTGTTAAGGTACAGAAAAGGACGACTGTGTTATCACGTATGTTGGCGGTTTTAAGTAGTTTGACGCGAGTTTAGGGTGAACTGCAACGGCGTCGACTATATAACGAGGACAGCATTTATCTCTCATTTAAGAAAAATGTAAGTCTTTACCTGGTTCTTGTTTCACCCCAAAGACTTCTGTTCTCATACATATACTGTTGTGATGCGTTTTTGGCAAGAATCGCAAATACTTCGTTAACACTCCATCAATAAGAACGTGCTTGACCTCAGAATTTCGGTCATAATTTCCCTGAAATAACTACAGCAAAACAAACCAAAGGTTACTACTTTGGCAATATTTACTTTTTCATGGGAAAAAACAAAAATAAATTTTATAATATAGCTAGCAAACCTCCGCTATCAAACTCTGCACACGTAACCTGCTGTGCCCTGAGCAACGTCTAACGCCTATTTCGTGGTCTCCAAACTTCCCGCGCGCATCATAACTCGATAATGCACGTTAAAGAGGAAATCGATTGTCCGGTGATACACAAAGCAAGTTACCTGAGCTGTCAACAAGACTAATTCCTTCAAAACTCAAGGTATCTTGGAATATGTATCGGCCAAAGCGCAGGGGAGGTTTGTAGATAGCGAAGAGTATTTTATCACTTCATAAGTTTGTTAAGAGGTCTTTCTTT